ATAACTGCAATTAGACCTAAAGTCTAGTACATTAGTTGGTGTAAGACATGATTTACAATCAGCCAATACAGTCACAAACCACTACATTAGACCTATAATGTTTACTATATCTAGATCTAGGCCTTGCCTGTTTCATATATTGCCAATCTTGCACACCAGTTAATATGGTGTGCAAGATTGGCAATCTCGAATTTTCTTTTTGTTGAACATACACTTACTTGTACGTTGTACACTAGGACTTGTACTTGATCTACAGATGAATGATGGAATAGTGTAATTTATTTCTGTACGTCAAATCGGTCTCACTGTATTTCAGTGGGTGGCTTTTAAAACTGCAAGCGTAATACACACAAATAACGTAACACTGTGTCGTATTTACTTAATGTAGGGCAGTTGCGCTATATCCTAGGGGCATAATTATTAATTAATAGGTATTATAGACCAGAGGAAATTTTGCGCCCCTTCACACCTGCACCCGGGGGCCACTGCCCCTCTTACTACGCCACTGTGTAGCTTTTGCCTTTATTACGGAAATGTTAATTTAATACACAAATAATTTCAAAAATAAATACAACGTTTGCAAAATAATAAACATGTGTTCTCAATTAATGTCAATAGATGGCGCAAAAAGCATGTACAATAATAAAGACATTATATATATATATATATAGTCCAATACACTGTACTAAAAAAAAAGAACAAATTTTAACACATTTTAAAAACAACCCTATTATTATAACTTGAAATAAATAACAGCGCGCAACGAAATTAATGTAGACTTTAGAAAAAATGGAGTTTCGTATATTTAAATGTTCATTGAACGAACTGCAAATGGTGAATTTTGTATTAACAAATGATTTTATATACTTTTTAATAACTTCTCTCAAACGATAAAAAATAGAACTTGGAACCTATATATATCTGATAAACTGATAATCATAATATATCACAAAGCAAAAATGGAGAACTTGTTTTCAGTTTGCTACTGAGTAAATAAGATCAAAATTTAAGTATTTATCTATTACATTTGGGAAGAAAAGCAAGAGTTTCAGATATTTCTCGCAATGATCACATTTCTTAGCACAAAATAAAATGACTTGTAGTCAGAAGAAATACAATGCTAATAACTTACCTGTGAAAAGAAAGAAGATAACCACGGTCAGTGGTATCATTTGTCGGGATCCATGGAAGGAGGCCATTGTTATCTATCAGTCAAACGCTCTACAATACAAATAAATTCACATTTATTTATACTATAGCTCAATTGGTATATAGTTTGGTAAGTAAGAAAATCAAGAAATTATTTTATGGAAAATTCAAGCACAATTAGATAGAAATAAACATAGTGAACTAGAGAGGCTGACAGTAGAACAGGGAAGTCTGTCCGTATGTCCGTCGTTATCAACGGACACGAACCATTTTTGGCAGGATAATGAGGAATAATATTCTACATCTTTCCACCAAGTTTCATCAACATCCGATCATTTTTGACTGAGTTATAGAGCAAAAATAGTGTGAAAAATCAGTCCTCATATTAACAGATAGGGATCATTTGGATTTTCCTTACCTTGTTGTGACCTTAACCCTCCAAAAACTAATCACTTCTAAGTTGGATTATAGTCCAAATTTATACCAATTTTAGTCATAATGCAATCAGCCGTTTTCGAAAAATCTTGCTGACAAACACACACACGCAGGGGTGAAAACATAACCTCCGTCCACCTTCGGAGGCGGAGGTAACAAAATAGAACCCAACAGTTTGTTGTTGTAGTTGCTTCATTCAGTGTATGTTCTTGAATGTGCAATATTGCAAATACATGGATACTTATACCAGGTGTACTACCGCAGGGTCCCCGAAAGTGTTCTGTTTCAAGAGTAGATAAAACCATAATTATGAGTAATAAATATTTTTATTTCTTGCTCTTGTAGTTCATATGTCATGCTGTGTTGTAGCCCACAGAGTTTATAATTCTTCTCGTGATTCATGGCATGCGCACGTTCTACTGACGTCCTGACAGTACGAATTGCAACGTTAAGCCCCTTATGGGACGTTATTTTAGTGCATACTGACTGATTGACAGACAACACACTACTGTATAGTGGCACTAATAGTTAAAACAGGTGACTCCTTCCAGGCGGACTTCAGCCCCCTTTATGAGAAACAAGTTTCATGTACTGTAAGTAATGAAATACTCCTTTTCTATTCATTGTTAGTTTTTGGTATTGTTGCTTACATTATAGATTATCTTTGAATGTGATACAACATTAGCTAAATAATAATAAGATATGTTAACTGTTTATTGAGCTGTTTTGTATAAAATACTTTTAGTTTTGATAATTTTGAAATGTTCATAAGAGCTCCCATTGTACAGAAAAATTCTCACATTATAATTCCTTTTTCAATTTACATAATAAAGTCGTGATGATTATATCCTCACTATAAACAAAAGAGGCAAACTTTCACGTCTCAAAAAGTCTTGTTTTTCCATTTATTTTTGAAAACAAAAAGAGAAATTGTGAAATTAGTGCTTAGATTATTTCGTCATTCAAAAATTGTAAATCATTTTAAATGTACTTTTTGAAATAGCTTATTCATCTTTATATTAATAGCTTAAATAGTTTAAAGGTATTAAACCCGAGTCCACATTGCATCAAGTCTAGTTATATATATCTTTCTTATTATTTAATCAAACCCTATGGAACAGGAGTTTATTATTAAGCATAAAGCTACACTGTGGGCTATCTGTGCTGAGCCCACCACGAATATCGAAATCCGGTTTTTTGTAGCGTGAGCAAACAGTGAACTTCCATTTGAACTAACAGTCCGTAATTAAAAACTTTTATATAACGGTGTGAACATAACCATTATATATATTTTCTTTATGTTTACCATATATGAATAACGGAGAGATAGAACACCTTTAATTTGACAAACTATGTCCTGCTTTTACAAAACTTAATCCTTTTTATCACTAATTAGAAAAAACTGTCAACTTTTATAGATTTAAGTTTTAATTAAACTAAAAACAATTTCCGTTTTAACTAATTTTAGTGAGTAAGTGAAACTTCAAAGTTTTGGATTACTTACTTTCATACCGTATTAATTAGAAGCTCATTTTTATTATCGTGAGGTAAATATAAGAGAAATATTTTAGAAAAATACAAAATATGCCTTTAATTTTTGGTGTTTTTTTTTTCCTGCTCTTCAATGTCACAAGTAGTCTAGCAAACTTCAATTCAAAACTGAAGTCTACCGCAGCTGCAGTAGACAAATGTATAAGTACAGGGAAGCAGTACGAGAGCAACGCACACAAAGAAAAATTTTATCAAAACAGAAGAGATATACGGGAAGGAGAATGTTAAAACAAGCAATGTTTAAAAAGATATAGTCAATTTATATCATTTTAGTCTTATATATATATATATCACGAAATAGAAAATTCAATAATTACTTTTCTAGATTGTTAAATAAGCATGTAAAAATTTTCACCTTCGAAATAAAAAGTAACGTTCTGAAACTAATATATTAGTATGAATTATTACAGCATAAAAATATTCATCTTTGAACATACACAAACTAAGCACTATTTGTAAAGAAATAGTCAAATCATACTTTATTTTTCTTCTTAAAAGTATCACAGAATATATTCTTACAGATTGATAAAAACAAATTAAACTTTATATAAAATATTATCCACATTATTTCTATTTTATAATTCATTAATTAAAGTAACTAAGTATGTTTAAATGTTTTATTAAAATGATCCTTGCTAAACGAAATAACAAGACTTATTTTATGGTAAACACTTTATATTCTATTATCCTGATTCCATGTTAATCAAAATATTGCCCTCCAGTGGCACAGCGGTATGTCTGCGGACTTACAACGCTAGAATCCGAGTTTCGATACCAGTGGTGGGCAGAGCACAGATAGCCCATTGTGTAGCTTTGTGCTTAATTACAAACAAAACATTGAGGGAATGAGGTGTGGCAACCATAGTTCAGCTGACAAAGACCTACAACTGCAAGAATACATATTTGTTCCCTCTGGTCTTACATTGCTAAATTATGGACGGCTAGCGCGGATAGCCCTCGTGTAGCTTTGCGCGAAATTAAAAAACAAACAATTATTTCTTGTTATTTAAAATTTAAACTCGTCAATGCATTAGACTTTTGAACAGTTTTCTGTATTTTATAAATATTGTTATGTTCCCATAATTTTGCATTTCTGAAACACGTTCATTCCGTATACATCACTTTTAGTGATTTTTATTTCGTAAATCATAGTTGGATGTATTTCAAATTATAATAATAAAATTTAATTTATGATCATGAAATCTAATAACTCAGTAATACTCCAAAAATCTACAGTATCTCGTTAATACATATGAAGTTTCTATAAAATATCTGCACATAAAGAATTTTGACTCTTAAGGCAGCTAGTCATCACCACCCACCGCCAACTCTTGGGCTACTCTTTTACCAACGAATAGTGGGATTGACCGTCACATTATAACGCTCCCACTGCTGAAA